GATAAATCCCAGCATTTGCCTTGTTGGCCACAGAGAGAGATTAATGACCAGAGACATGAATGTTACCCTAAATCCTCAAAGTCAAGTACTTTTTGGTTACTTCATAATTGACTGAGAAGAGGTACGAATAACTAATGGTAGTGTTCTAAAATCTTGGTTTTTTTTTTTTTTTTTTGTATTGGCAAATAATGGATTTGGCCAATTAATTTCCACGAATTCAGCCAGTTTTTACAGCCAGTTGTTACATTGTGAACAGAGCAGTTTTGTTTTTCTGTGAAGAGATTTTCCCAGAAGGTGAGAGTGTCCAACTATTTTTGCAAGGAAACATTTATGTTTTACTTAAGTGTCTTTCTATTCTAGACACCCATATTGGATACTGCAACACTTGTCTGCAAGACTGAGGTGATGGGGCGTCTGTGTGGAAATATGGGATTGTGGCCGCGTGAAACTATTTCTAGATCTGCTGATCAGCTATACATTCTTGTGCTCTATAGTCACACATAGATAGGCAAGGATCTACAGTTACTCCCAGTGAAAGAAGCATTGATTTAAAGACCAAGGGGAAGACCCAAGGTGAGTTCTTAAAATGACCAAGGGATGCTCATTGAAAATTTATACGGTATATTTAAATATTTCTCGTGTCTTAAATAAATTTTCATTGAAGGGAGTCTGAGTTGAGTTGAGAAAATTAAGCTAGAAAAACATAGAAATTAACCAGAATATACAACATATGTTTGGTTTTAGCATTATAGCCTGACAGGGGTTTATTGTCCATTTTGTCAAATAACAAAGTGAAACATGTGATGCATTACAAATAAACTAATGATTCATAATCTTGGTTCATAGGCTATTATATTTTATCCAATGCTAACATTTGTGATTATTTTAAGACTTTTAAATTAGAGAATTTTTGATACATCATCTGTATATTGCATTGTGTGTTTACCACCAAAAGTCAAATTTTCTGTCACCGTATATTTGACCCCCTTTACCTTTTACTACCCTCCCACCCCTCTTCCCTCTGGTAACCACCATACTGTGGTCTGTGTATGAGTTTTTGTTTTTCTTGTTTGTTCATTTGTTGTTTTCAGTTTTATATCTCTCATATGAGTGTTATATGGTTCTTGACTTATTTCGCTTAGCATGATATTCTCAAGATCTAGCCACTAGTTTCAGGGGTACAACATAGTGGCCAGACAATCGTATACTCCACAAAGTAGCCCCCTGGGTACATCAAGTAACCACCCTGCCACTTGCATAGTTATTACAATATTACTGACCACATTCCCCACTGGGGACTTTGGACTCTGATACAGAAGCTTGATATGTGTGAACCTTTTAAAATGATCACAGCAACCCTATTTGTAAATATTTAAAAAGAGACCTGTGCTCAGGGAAGTACCTTGCTTACTATTATTTAGAGAGACATAAAACTGTGATTTTAAAGTATTTTAGAGGGGATTTTTATTACTATGGAAGTTTAATTTATCTTTTTTAAAAAGCCACCCTCTTAAGAAACTATGTTAAATGTTTTTTTTTTTTAAATATAGAGACGTGTGAACTTAGTAGCTTAATTTGAAAGCTTAGTAATACTATCAGTTTTTATAGTATCCAATCTTTGATGACTTAACCAACAGAGAAGAGTTTATATATCCAATTTTTACATCTAAGTAACTTAACTGGCTAATAGAAGATTTATTCTGCTGAAACCCAACATTGGTTATTAATGAGTAAGGGCACTAGATAGATCCAGTGTGAAGTAAGGAGTGAGAAGCAGAGAATTGTATATAGACTACCTGGTACCCTTATGTTCTTCAATAGCTGTGCCTTTATCAGTCTATAGCTTCAACAGTGATAGAACAGCTGAATAAACTGGATGCAGCAATGTGAATGAGGCATGTAGGATGTTCCTCACAGCTGGCTTCCAAAGGAAGCTCAACCTTTTTCTGCACATGTCCTCCCTCCCTCTGCCACCAAGTCTTTGGGAATGGAATCAGCTTGTCTACCTTTCAGCTTTAGTAATTCTGTAATTTTCCTCAGCAGCGAATAAGCAGAAAATTTTGGTTTGTATCTATAGTTGTATAATTCTTCTCTCTTGCTTAATTTTGTTCTTTACCATCAGGTGTAGGGGACACCAAGGAATCAATGTGTGTTTGTGTGTTTTTCTAATTTTCTTTGCTTTTATTTTCTAAGATGTGCTCTGTGTTTATTTGTTTGGCTTCTCAAGATGCCTCCTGAGAAACCCCTGGAAGTCTGAAGGGACTTCTAGCACTTTATCAAGAAAGAAACTCTTGCCCTAGCCGGCTTGGCTCAGTGGATAGAGCATCGGCCTGCGGACTGAAAGGTCCCAAGTTCGATTCCGGTCAAGGGCATGTACCTTGGTTGCGGGCACATCCCCAGTAGGAGGTGTGCAGAGGGCAGCTGATCGATGTTTCTCTCTCATCAATGTTTCTAACTCTCTATCCCTCTCCCTTCCTCTCTATAAAAAATCAATAAATTTTTTTAAAAAAGAAAGAAACTCTTTCTGAAGAAGATTTCTTAAAGAATACTAATCTCATGTAATTATCACATTAATATTATTACTTGTGGATATTAATTTCCTAAATATAATTTCTCCTTCCTGATTTGATCCTTTTTCTTTTGTTTTCTGTTTTTAGTTTTTCCTATGATGTATGGATCCCACTTTTCCCCCTGTTATTCTGATTGCTTCCAGTCAAAATATGCTCCATCACAGGTAAATATTACTACTCATATATAATCAAGTAGATAATCCTGAGACATACAATCTCATTTATGCCCAACTATAATTCTTATCACATTGACAAAGATCCAGATGATTTCTTCTGATGCAGTGCTCATAGTGAAGCATTCAGGAGCATTGATGATAGCTATCATTTATTTATTGCACCTTTACTGGGTGCCAACTGCATTCTAGGTACTCTACTTGTAATAAAACAACCTAAGAGGCAGGCTTTCTTGGTAGCCCTATTCTAAAAATTATGCAACTGAGGCACAGAGAGGTTTATTAAGTTGCCCAAGGTGACATAGTAAGTGGAAAAGCTGGGGTTCCAACACAGGCAATGCAGCTCCAGGGTCCATGTTAGTCATCAGTGTGCTACAGCAGAGTAACTTGTAATCATTATCTGGTTTCTGTAATTATGAAATCCCATTTACCACTGGATAGCATGTTTCAGGGAACAGGGATAAGCTTGGAAATTTTTTTTTATTATAAAAATATGAAGAAAAGTCAGCAGAATAGCATAAGATAGTGTTACACAAAAGGTCTCAGAGCATGTCTGGGAATGCTTCCTGAGATTGTCTAGTCCAGGGGTCCTCAAACTACGGCCCGTGGGCCACATGCAAATACAAATATTGTATTTGTTCCCATTTTGTTTTTTTACTTCAAAATAAGATATGTGCAGTGTGCATAGGAATTTGTTTATAGTTTTTTTTTTAAACTATAGTCCGGCCCTCCAACGGTCTGAGGGACAGTGAACCGGCCCCCTGTTTAAAAAGTTTGAGGACCCCTGGTCTAGTTCAAGCCCTTTATTTTCCAATGAGCAAACTGAGAAAGATTTCCAATTACATTTAGAAATGACTGAAACCCAAGCCTTTGTACTCTGAGCTTGGCCTTTTCCCTTGGGTCTGCTGGTGTCTGGAATCTGGGACCGAAGCTCTAGTTTTGAGTACTCTCAGTATCTTGGAAGCATTATAAATAAAACCATGTATCATTGTCCTTTACCTCTTTTCAGTGCCCGTGTTCTTCTTCTCCTTCATTACCTAGTTCGCCCCAAGAGCTTTGAAAAAGAAAACCCCATAAAACAACTAGCTGCTAATGTAATTGTTGATCATAGTCAAGAGTCAGATAAGTTAAAAAATATTTGCTGAAAATCTAAATTGTGTCTCTATGTTAAGAGTGGTGGAATAGATAAAGATTAAATGGAGAGAATTGCAACTCCTTCAAAAGCTGACAGTCAAAAAGAGCCAACAGGCGAGTGAAACCAAGTAGTTGCTATAGAGAACAATGTACTTAAAGAATTCTGTAGTTTGATACAGTGCAAAGTCCAGTCTCTTGAAATTTAATGAGAGATCCATGAAGACGGAACATCCTTTGAGACACAAAGGACTGAATATCTAATAGTGGATTATCATAGTATTAAGTGATTTATTCCAAAAGGGGCATTATTTTTGGTGCGACATAGATCATATTATAAAGATACTCACCAAAAATACCATAAACTTGGAGAGCTGACTCTATGCCAATTTGTTCAGAGTTTTTTTGTTTTGTTTTGTTTTTGTTTTTTGATCACCACTGGACAGTAAGTTATTGCTGCCTCTGTGCCCGGACTCGCAGTTTAAATAAGGCTCTATTAAATAAATGACTGACTGTTGGGCATTTGATACTCTTTTCTATAGACAATCCACTTAGAGATGGAACCTCTTACTTGTAACCCAAATAAAATCATCTGTGGAGAAATAGAATTGTCAAGGGAAGGTATAATGCAGTGGTTCTCAACCTGTGGGTCGCGACCCCTTTGGGGGTCGAATGACACTTTCACAGGGGTCGCCTACAACCATCGGAAAACACATATATAATTACATATTGTTTTTGTGATTAATCACTATGCTTTAATTATGTTCAATTTGTAACAATGAAAATACATCCTGCATGTCAGATATTTACATGATGATTCATAACAGTAGCAAAATTACAGTTATGAAGTAGCAACGAAAATAATTTTATGGTTGGGGGTCATCACAACATGAGGAACTGTATTAAAGGGTCGCAGCATTAGGAAGGTTGAGAACCACTGGTAGAATGTGTTATGGGAAGAAGAACTCATAGATATTTACTGAATGTTTACTGTATGTAAACCTCTGTAAAGGTATAATAATGAAGATGTACTTCAAAACATAATGTATTCATAGTTGTGTTCACAATTTCATTACAGGTCCCATTCTCCTGACCTCTCATCCCTGAAACAGGCTTTAGAGAAGACTAAATGGGACATAGTAACAATGTGACAGAATTTGTTTTCCTGGGCCTCACTCAGGATCTACAGGGCCAAAAAGCATTATTTGTCGTATTTTCACTCATCTACATTATGACAATGGTGGGCAACCTGCTCATTGTGGTCACTGTTCTTTCCAGCCCCTCCCTGGCCTCCCCCATGTACCTCTTCCTTGCCTATCTGTCACTCATGGATGCCGCTTATTCCACTGCCATTTCACCCAAATTGATTATAGACTTACTCCGTTGTCATAAGACAATTTCTTTCTCGGCTTGCATGGGACAGCTCTTTCTGGAACACTTATTTGGAGGTTTTGAAGTCTTTCTTCTGGTGGTAATGGCCTATGATCGCTATGTGGCCATCTGTAAGCCACTGCACTACATAACCATCATGAATAGACAGGTTTGCATCCTGCTGTTGGCACTGGCTGGGGTTGGAGGTTTTGTACATTCTTTGGTCCAACTCCTCTTTGTGTACAGCCTCCCCTTTTGTGGCCCCAATATCATTGACCACTTCTTCTGTGACGTGTACCCTCTGTTGGAACTTGCCTGCACTGACACCTACTTTGTAGGCCTCACTGTGGTTGCCAATGGCGGAGCAATCTGTATGTTCATCTTTATTTTTCTATTAGTCTCCTACGGAGTCATCCTCAATTCTCTGAAAACTCACAGTCAGGAAGGGAGGCGCAAAGCCCTGTCTACCTGCAGTTCCCATATCACGGTGGTTGTCCTCTTTTTCGTTCCCTGTATTTTCCAGTACGTTCGACCTGTTTCTAACTTCCCCATTGATAAATCCATAGCTGTGGTCTTTACTGTTGTCACTCCCATGTTGAATCCTTTAATATATACTTTGAGAAATCCAGAAATGAAACATGCTGTGAAAAAGCTCTGGCATAAAAAGTTAACTATAGATAGAATGAGCATGTTGTCACCCATACTGAATGCTTTTGTTACTAATTCTGAAGCACAAACAGGCAGTCCATTGTAACAATGGATGACTTAGTCCAGGGGTCCTCAAACTACGGCCCGCGGGCCACATGCAAATACAAATATTGTATTTGTTCCTGTTTTGTTTTTTTTACTTCAAAATAAGATATGTGCAGTGTGCATAGGAATTTGTTCATAGTTTTTTTTTAAACTATAGTCCGGCCCTCCAATGGTCTGAGGGACAGTGAACCGGCCCCCTGTTTAAAAAGTTTGAGGACCCCTGACTTAGTCAACTCAATGGGGTTTTAGGGATGCTTTTCTTCATTTACATAAAGGCATAAAAAAGTAGAATAAATGATCCATTGAGGTTAGAATCAATCTAATAGAGAAGTTCTGCAGGTTGAATAAAAGGCACAGGTATTTGTCCTATACAAGGAAAAGTACACTAAGTTCACCTTGTAACTTTTTCTTTATTTTAAAATGGGACGTTAGAAGAAAGAGGCTTTTTCCCTCCTTTGAATATTGAAAAATAAGCTACCCTTGAAAATTTGCTGTTACCCTAAGTAATGAGAAAACAATTCATCTAATGTTTAGAACAAATTTCTGGGGTCAAACAGTTATTGTTTGTTATCCTATCCACACAGCAACTTTCTGTAGCTGCCTTATGCATTTTGTCTTTAGGATTGCTTTCGGCCTGACCAGTGTGGCTCAGTGGCTGAGCGTCCACCTATGAACCAGGAGGTCATGGTTCTATTCCCAGTCAGGACACATGCTCAGTTTGGGGGCTTGATCCCTAGAGGGGGTGTGTGTGTGTACATGTAGGAGGTAGCCGATCAATGCTTCTTTCTGTCATTGATGTTTCTTTTCTTTTTTAAGAAAATATTTATTGTTGAAAGTGTTACATATGTCCCCCGTTCCCCCCGCATCAATCCCCTCCAACCAACCCCCAACCCCCACCCCAGGCCCTCACCACCCTACTGTCTGTGTCCAGGGGTTACGCATTATGCATACAGGGTCTTTGGTTGATTACTTCCCATCCATCCACCCTCTCTACCTTCCCTCTAAGATCCCTCACTCTGTTCCATGCTTTCATGCCTCTGGATCCACTCCATACCATTGATGTTTCTATCTCTCCCTCTCCCTTCCTCTCTGAAATAAGTAAAAAATACATAAAAAAAAGATTACTTCTGTTCTTTAGGTTGATGTCTATGCATTTGAAGTTCATGATGTTTAGATGGGAGATGGTCCCATATTTGGTTAAAGACACAGACAGTGAGCAGTTTTGTTAGATGGAATATTGGAGCTGTTCACAGGTTGACATGAACCTGTATGGGATGACTGACAATGAAAACAGATTCTATGCCGAAACCGGTTTGGCTCAGTGGATAGAGCGTTGGCCTGCGGACTGAAAGGTCCCAGGTTCGATTCCGGTCAAGGGCATGTACCTGGGTTGCGGGCACATCCCCAGTAGGAGATGTGCAGGAGGCAGCTGATCGATGTTTCTCTCTCATCAATGTTTCTAACTCTCTATCTCTCTCCCTTCCTCTCTGTAAAAAATCAATAAAATATATATAAAAAAATTAAAAAAAAAAGAAAACAGATTCTAGTTCTTGATTAGAGGATAGAAAACCATATTCATTCAAGTCATAAATATATTTTCATGCCTTTCCTCACCAAATATTATATACATTTTTGCCATTCTTCAAAGAGTACATAAAACTTACTTTGTCTTAATGATACTGAATATTGGGTAAATAAATGCATTATTTTGCATAGCAATGTGTTCCCTAAAAATTGTATTCAACTGAAATAATTTAAATTTTAGACTTAATAAAGATTATTTTGGTATAAACAAAATTTTGTTTTTAAATTTTATATAACAAACAACAACAACCAGGTGTTTTTTTTTAGTTGTAACTCATACTGAAACATCATGAACTAGGAAGACGATGGAATTGCTTTCACTGTTTTGTAAGAGTTTTCTAACAAAAAAAAGGAATATCACCTATGTTTTGTAAGAGTTTTCTAACAAAAAAAAGAGCCATTTTCTTATTTTAAACGTTTACTATGCCCTGGCCGGTCTGCCTCGATTGGATGAGTGTTGTCTCATGCACCAAAATGTTGTCAGTTCGATTCCCAGTCAGGAAACATGCCTGGATTGCAGGCTTGGTCCCAAGTAGGGGCTGTGCAGGGGGCAGTTGATCAATGTTTCTCTCTCTTTCCCTCTCCCACCTGCTCTCTTTAAAATCAATAAAAATATTTTACAATTTTATTATATATTTTTTCATGCATACCAATAATATATGCAATTTATTTCTAGATTTTATAGCCTCCTACCTAGAATATGATTGATATTAAAATTACCCGTATATACCATTCCTCTGCCTCTTTCCAGGGGTAATCCCTATGCTGAAGTTTTTGTTAATCATAGTTAAAAATAGTTTAATTACACATGTATGTATCCTTAAGTTGTAGAGTTTAGAGTTTTATATTCTTTACCTTATATACCAACCTACTTTCCTAATTTGATGTCATATTTACTCTATTTAAAGTCCAAATACTTGTGTATCTATTTCTAGACTATTTTCCTTTGATTGGTTAATTATTCCTAAGCCAATACCACATTATTTTAGGTCATGTAAGTATATTTTGATATCTGATAAGAGGCCTACCACACAATAGTCTTATTAAAAACAACAAATTCTGTTTCAAAAAATTCTTTTCCACATAAATATTAGAATAATTTTGGAGATCTTAGAAACTTACTAAGATTTTGACAGACAGCATATTAAATGTCTAACTAATTTAGAGAGAATTGATATCTTGATCACATTGAATCATTCTATCATTTTATCTGAGAACAGGAAAAAGTCTTAGTATTTATTTAGGTCTTTAAGATTTAAAGATTCTTTTAGACTATTGCTGAGTGATAATGATTTCATTAATGATTTTTAATATCTTTCAAATATTTATATTGTATTTCTCATTTTTTATATTATTATGTCACTTAATAGAGGAAAAAGTGGTATAATAACTCTGAATAAAGGAAACCTTGACTCATTCTTAGCTTTAATGGGGATGCCTTCAGTATTTCCCCATAAAAAATGTGTTCATTACAAAAGAAAATCTCTACCTGTATATTACTACCCTGCAAGGAACAGATATCACTCTTCAAAGGAACAACTGAAAACTATTTACAAAGAGCTTGCAAGATTAAAGAATTTTTTAAAATCCTCAGTTGAGGTTATGTTTATTGATTTTTAGAGAGAAGAGTAAGGGAAAGAGAGAGAGAAAAAGAGAGAGAGAGAAGAAAGAGGGGAGGGGAGAGAGAAACATGATCGGTTGCCTCCATGTCATCATTTTATTTTGTCAAATGCTTCCAAGTAATCCGGAAACTTGTCAGATCAGTGACAAAGACTGGTTATGTTAAAATATTCAAAGAACTAAAGAAAACCATGCCTCAGGAGCTAGAGGAAAGAACTATAAAACAATGTCTCAACACTAAATGATTTATATCAATAAACAGATGGAAATTATGAAAAAGAACAAAAATAAATTCTGGAGTTGAAAGTACAATAATTGAAAAAAAAATCACTAAAGTGGCTCAACAGCAGATCGGAGGAAACAAAAAAAGAATCAGTGAAGTTGAAGATAGGTCACTGTGATTATCCAGTCAGAGGAACCAGTACATAATGATGTTAAAGCTCCTCCCTCTCTGGTTCAGGTTCCAGGGTGTTTAAAGGCTGTTCACGAATCTTACTATTTTGTTATTATAAGTGATTTTCTCTTTGATGTTCTATTGCTATTTTTTCACTTAATTCCCCATGGTGATTGGCCAGGAGAAGCCTCTGAAAACATAGAATGCACTGGAAGAATCATGCAGAAGGTCTCAGCACAATTCCTCAGTGAATTTATTTTTGAACAAGCAGCCTTGGGGACAAACTATTTTAACAACTCAGTAAAGTGATTTGTTATTTATCATTGATTAAGTCCCCAGTCATATCTTCCTTTACTGGGAGGAGATTTCTCCTTGGGTATTAATGCTACTGTCAAGATGTAGTAAAATAAAAGTGATTACTTTGCTAGACATGTACCATATTAAAACAGTCATATGACTATTTTAAAAATATTAAAAGCCCATTTATTTGAATATCCAGATCTCTGCATTATTGACTAAATATGCTATTAAAAATTTTATCAATTTATTTGGTCAGTTAAACATAAGAATTAGGTTTTAAATTTGATTACTAATACATATTCTCAATGACAACTTCAAAGTATGGTGATTCATCCATGATATTAACTGTCTTCTTAAAGCCAAACTTTGGATAATGCCATAACCCAAATGGTAAAATCTTTATGAAAGCTGAAGAAGACTGTCATGCTTTGTACAGGCAAAAAGAGCTATATCTGGATGTGGTAAGCATTTCTAGCTGCAATGATGAGCTGTACTGTAATCTGTTCTCTGCAGTCACACCTGGGTTGATGTGGTGGCAATACTGACTTATCTGCATCACACTGAACTTCAACTTCCAGAACCAAAGACAGAACTGCAGAAGCCTGGATTTGGAACAGAGGACAGAAGAAGAAATAAAAAATGAAGGTAACATATTTACAAATACTCTTCACTGCTCTGAGAATAGGGATAGATGGACTTAGTTTGAATGAATTATGTATCTTATAAAGAAGCAGGTTTTATCATTTGATTTCAAATGTTTTATGCCAGAAGCTCCAGAATAAGAAAGTGAATGCACTTTATCCATTTTGTAAAATATTATGGAACAAATACAATGATAATAATTTTCTCCAATATTTTGTATTAGAGATGTTTAAATGCATACTGAAATGAGGAGAACACATAGCATAACACATAGCATAGCATAAATAATGCAACAATATAAGTGGACATATATGGTCTTCACAATAATGTATGTAGATTGCTTTATATGGAGAATCCAACAATTATATATTTTGTATTTTAATATGTTATGATGATAGTAAGGATTACTGTAGCTCTTTATAATTGTTATCTTGTATTAGTATCTTTAAATGTTCTGGTTT